TCTTTTATTCTTACAGTTGCTCCTAGGCAATGACTTGAGACTCTCATTTGCATGGTCCTGTTTTGCTAGGAATCATGCCTACCTCTGGACCTGGCCACCCCACGTGTGTGCTTCAGACAGCTGAGTGCGTGTCTGCTCTTTGACTCACTTGTTCTTGAAGTCCTCCACCATGTCCTGCATGCCCCGGAGCTCCGAGTCCAGGCGGCCTCTCTCCCCAACGATGCTGTCCAGCTGCCTCCTGAGGTTGTTGATGTACTGCTCGAACAGAGGGTCCAGGTTCTGCCTCACGGTCTTGGTGCCCTGCTCCTGCAGCAGGGTCCACTTGGTGTCCAGGACCTTGTTCTGCTGCTCTAGGAACCGCACCTGGAGGGGAGGGAAGATGGTCATTTGCCAGACAAGGATGGAAGGAAGAAGCGTCAGCGTTCTCAGCTGTGCTGGCTGGTCTGGGGTGCCCCGAGGTACTGGGCTACTAGGTTCGTGTACAGAGGCTCTGCTCCCAAAACCTCTCCCCCTTTCGCCACACAGGTCTAACCGCAGAAATCCTTCCCCGGCCCGAGTCCTTCTCCCCGTCTACGTTAGTGAGCACACCTGTGACTTGCCACATTCCTTCTCCTTTTGCCCAGCACAATCACAAGTCTAGTTTTAAACTACACGGTAGAGCTTTCCTCACTGCTAGGACCTCAGTGAGGGGCATGTTGCATGTGGCCTAATGGTCAGACCCAGTCCCACTTCCCCTTGAATGCGCGTGTCACCTCTAAAGCATTTTCATTTGTGGTCCTTGTCTGTTTCTGGAGTAAATTGCCATTTATGCATTTTGTAAATATTTCTAAGGCTTCCTGTCTTGACCTATGTAGAGTATTTTTCTTTCCCTGTAGAGTTTTCTGTCCCTCTTGCCCAGACCCCAGAAGTGCAATTTACCAGCCTGTATACTGTCGTCATGTTTATTTTTTTTCCTCTCCAATACACTTTGGAGCAAAATTAAGTCATGCCATCGCTCATCTCCTTCATGGTTGTGAAGAGTCCCTAGTTCGGGTAAGTTGGCAAGGTCATCACCTGCTGCCTGTGGTCAACTAGGGCCATCTGGCCTCCCTGTGGAGAGCTAGGCTGAGCCCCTCGTCCCCTTCCTATGTCTCCCCCAGGGAGAAGTTTGCTGTTCTTCCTATCAAGGTCTCACCTTGTCGATGAAGGAGGCGAACTTGTTGTTGAGGGTCTTGATCTGCTCACGCTCCTCGGTCCTGACCCGCTGGATGGAGGGGTCGATTTGCAGGTTCAGAGGGGTGAGGAGACTCTGGTTGACCGTGACTTCTTGGATGCCTCCGGGGGGGCACACGGGGAAGCCAGAACCCCCATAGCCACCACCAAAGCCAGCTCCACCACCGAGCCCAAAGCCAGCGCCAGCTCCACCGCCGAAACCGAATCCGCTCCCGGCTCCACCTCCAAAGCCATAGCCGCCTCCGACTCTGCTGCCATAGCCACCTCCGACGGCACAGCTGCCCCCTCCGATGGAGATCCTCTTGGAGCCCCCCAGGTTGTAGAGGCTGCGGCTGCCGAAGCCAGCTCCTCCGCACACTCCACCCAGGCCGCCACTGCCCCGGGAGCGGGACACAGAGACGCTGCTGAAGCCACAGCGCGAGACCCCGGGGACCCTGGCTGAGCCTGAGCTGAAGCCACGGTGGCTGCTGCTGTAGCTCTTCACGGTGGATTTGCTGGTCATGGTTGCAGAAGATGGAAAGGCTGAAGAGAGCGTGAGAGGCTGGAGGCTGGGGTGAGAGGAGCAGGTGAGTGAGCCGGGCTCGGGGCAGCAGTGTATATATACCCGGTGAGCAAGGGCTGGGCCCGGTGCTGGAAGGTGAGCTTGCAGATTGGGAGGGGCTGGGCTTTACACACACAGTGAGATCACACCTGGGTTACTGGCTAAGTTATGAAATATCGAGGTTGCATTTTTTGTTTCCTTTAGTCAGGGAAAATGCTCTCGCCTCCAGCTTTGGCTTGATCTCTGCACAATAAGACTATTCTTTGTGAAGTTAGGGCTTAGTCACCGTCCCACACAAAGGTCCTGCAGATTGTCCTGTGTTCAAAATGTCCTGATGGATTCCTCTCTACCAGTGGAGATATTGAAGCTTTGAAATCTCTTGAAGTTAACAGAAAAATCATGATTTCCCCACTGACTTCAAAGGTGAAACATTACTTTTTTCCCTAAAAACAGAAAAATAGAACACCATCCCGTGGACCCCTATATCTGTATTTCTTTTACGCTTCCACCCAATTACTCATTAACTATAAATTATATATTTGGAAGCAGATAAGAAAGTTTATTATTTCTTCAACATAGTAATTCAACATTTATGTTGAATAGCAGGCCCCTTAAAAATATAACCAAAATGTTTCTTTTTATCTTATATATTGATGTATTTGTTAATTAAGCATCTATTCAATTTTCCAATATTCTTACGTGTATTATTTATTTATTTGCAGTAACTGTCCTTGGTAATGTTTTGCGATTTCCTAATGGCTTAATCAGAGTGTTTCATTTCATATGCTATGCCTTCTTTGTTACTTCAAGAATGAGGTAGTTAAAACTTGACTATCAGCAGGATTCCAGTATATATTTAAACTTTCCTGATGTGGATGTAGGATAATTCCTATGTATATATTGGAGAACGTTACTTACACATGCAATTATATCTTTACAACATAAGTATGTAATGAAAATTGAAGGAGAGGCATACAAGGAGGACCATTCTCCAGCCACCCCATTTTTGCAAATGAATGCAAGCAGTCTGTTATTTCCTTGTGTATTCTTCTAGAAACTTTACTTGGAGATGTCTCTATGGTTTTTCTGGGGAATATGTGAGGTATGTGTGTGGGGGGCGGGTATTTTATATAGAGAGTGAACCTCCATAGTTACAATGTGTCTGAAGTATAATACTGTGCTTTATACATAAAATTTGCATACATATATGAAATATTTTAAGATTTTATTACAGAGGGTATACACACATATACTTTCCCAATTAAGCTTCTATTGTGTCTCCTTTGCCTCCCATATCTACATACTCTCTTTTAAGACTTTATGATCCCTTTATAGTAACTGTTTTTCTCCATCTTTTCATGTAAGTAAATTATTTTACATTCAGCAATGTCTTTCCTCTTTGTGTCATTTCCACTTTGTCCTTCATTTCTATTTGGCCTTGACTTTTTCTCTATTTCTGCAAGATGTTTTATCTTTTATTGTCACAGTATACAGTCCCTTCAGTCCCTTATTTTACAGTGGCAATCATTTCACTGAACTTACTGGCTAATGTTTTATCGTCCCTTTCACTGTTAAGTGTCCTTTAAGTTTCTTGGTTTTCTCCTATGCCCTTCACATTTTAATGCATAGATCTTTTGTGCATCACAGAACAGTTCCTTTCTGACTCGTGGTCATCTTTCAGTAAGAGGAGCATCTTCTCCACCTGCCTTTTGCAGACATTCTGAGAGTAAGAGCCAGGGCCATACACAGGCTAACAGGAATTCTCATTGCGATACAGCGCTGTGTGACTAATTCTGTTAAACATCGATTCAATTAAGCCAGCAAAGATCACTGCAGACAGTGACTCACAAGTCATAGATTTTGTACTTTCTTTGCCTCGCCAAGAAAATGCTGCCAATATTATGCAATAGGAGCTATCAACCTGATGGGGCCTAGAGGTGCTTAGATATTTCCTCAAACATTATCCTGGATATGTCTGTCAGGGTATTTCTGGATGAGATTAAAATGTGAATTGTTCTCACAGAGTAAAACAGATTGTCCTTCCTAATGTGGGTGGGGCCTTTCAATCACTTGATGGACTGAATGTAATAAAGGGGCTGGACAAGTGGGTGAGCCTCTGTCTGACTGTCTTCAAGGTGGGCTCAACATTATTTCTTTCCCTGTCTGACTGTCTTCAAGGTGGGCTCAACATCATTTCTTTCCCTGCCTTTTTGACTTAAACTAAAAGATCAGCTTCTAGGTCTCAAGCCTGCCATGGTCTGCACTAGACTACCCTGCTGAATCTTCGGATTCTCAGGCCTTGGGACTGAGTCTGGAACTACCACTCTGGCTCTCCTTGGGCTCTAGCTTGCCCTCTTGAGACTTGTCAGCCCCCCAAATCACATCACTCAATAATTTATAATCAATCAGCATCTCTGTTCTTTTTCCTCTCCCTTGCCATACCTACATGTACATATAGCTATATAGATATAAATGTATTTCCTATAGTTTCTGCTTCTCTGCAGAACAGATTTGTGCATGTACATGTTGGTTTAAGCCTTGTTAGCCATACCACTCAGGAAACAATCTCACCAGCTGAAGTTCAGTTCTCACATGTAGTTCTTACAATTCCTTTTGCGTTGGCTCTTATAGATTCCACTTACTTCTCCAGGGACTTAGGTCAGCCTTTTCTTCTACATGTCCCCGTCAATGAGGTGGTGTAATACACTTTGAATATTATTACATCCTTTTGTCACATTGTAGGGTCCTTCCAGGATATCTAAGCCTCATACATTATTTCTTAAAAGTTTCAAACATTAAGATTCACTCTGTAGTGTACATTTCTATAAATTTTTTCCAATTAAAATCCCAGCAAGTTGTTGTGTGGATATCACCGAAGTGTTTCTAAAGTCCGTATGGAGATGCAAGAGACCCAGACTCGGTAACACAATATCGAAGGAGAACAACAAAGTCACCGTACAACCATCATCCTACTTGAAGCTATGGTTACCAAGACAGCTTGGTATTTGCAAAAGAATAAACAAATAGACCAAGGAACAAAATGGGGAGCCCAGAATTAGACCCGCAAACATACAGTCAACTGATCTTGGACAAAGAAGCAAAGGCAATACAATTGGGTGAAGATGGCCTTTCCAACAGATGGTGCTGGAACGACTGGGCTTCCCCATGCAAAAAAAAGAAAAAATGAATCTAGACACACATATTACACTCTCCACAAAAACTAACTCAAAATGAATCGTGACTCTAAATGTAAACACAAAATGATAAAACTCCTAGAAGATAACATCGGTGAAAACCTGGATCGATTTACATATACTGACAACTTTAACCTTTATTTATTTATTTAGTGAATTTAATTTTTATTAAATAATGTAATAAGAGCATGTGAATGGCACCATTCATGGACTCTTGCCTTTATGCACAAAACAAGGCAAGTTTACCTGCATCCGTAGCAGAGAAAACTATGGGAGCAAATGCTAAGTGAATGGATTGGGGTTTCCAGGTTGACTTCATTCTCTGGCTCTTGCAGACAAGGAGATGGCTCTTGTCAGCCATCCCCTTGTCTACAAAAGTTGACAGCCTGCCCGCCCAGGGCCCTGTCCCTGGCTGTGAGCATGTCCTTCTGCAGAGACAGCAGCTGTGTTGGGTCACCTAGAGCAGCTGTGCTCTTTGCCCACAAAGGTATCCTGGGAGGTGATGGTGTCCCTGCTGTCCACCATGCTGCCCATCCCCCTCTTTTCTTCCTTTGATGCATTGTCCCATCACTCAGACTTATACTCTGAGTCTGAGCCTGACACACTGGACCTGGAGGAGCTGGAAGAGTCACTAGAGCTATCCCCGTGGACTCCTGAAGGTCAACCAAGTTGGCCAGGACTACCAACTCAGAGTACTCTTGCTTGAAGACCTTGAACACCCTTTCCTTAATAACTTAGGTCTCCCTCTTACTGTCTTGTGCCATACAACAGGGAAGTTGGTGCTGTTGGCAAAGTTCTGGGTAGCAGCAATAGCAGTGTCAAGACAGTCATAGACAACATGCCACAGCATGTCCTAGTACAATGACAGTCTCTCCTGGTTTTTGGAGGATTTCCAGGGGGTTGAATTCAGGTGGCCAGGTTGGAGGCTGTGTCCAGGGATAAATCACATTAAACCAGGTAATAGCTTCATCTGCTGGTTCCATCCTTCTTCCCATGTTAGAAGATGAGCTGCCTGGAAGTGCTTCTTGGGAATAAGCTTGGGGCCCTGAACTAAGGTGTTCCAGGTACTGCTTCCCAGAGAGTTGGTGTGAATCCCAGTTCCAGAGTGCGGTGGAACCATTACAAAGCGCCTGTCAGGGACCTGTGCTTTTTCCCTGCATATTAGAAAAGGTCATCAGAGCAAAATGTGGGCACCTTGTGGTCTTCCAAGAGTTTTGTTCTTTGGGGGTGCTCCTCATAGGTGCTTTCAAGGACACAAAGGGGACTGTCATCTCGATACTCTCCACGTACACCATGTAATATTTCATCTTCATCATCACTGAGCATCCATTGTCATTCTCACCACACTTGAACTTCTGGTTCCTGTATTTCCTTTTTAGGTGCTCTGAAGTCTAGTTCTCCTTTGCAGACCTTCAGGCATTCAGCAAAACCACGGGCTGGTTTGGCCTTTTATGTCACTCCACAAATTCTTCCACAGGTAGCTGTAAAGCATTTGCTGTTTTCAGGTTGTCTACCATGCTGCCAGGCTCAGCGAGAGGCTCTGCTAGAAGTTGTACTGTGTCCAGTCCAGCGAGTCCTTGTGCACTGGCTATACACTCCACTTGGCCTTGTGCACAGCTTCTTATTCTTGTGCTTCATCCTGCAGAGTCACCAGCTGGTTCCATGGTGACCTTAGTCTAGCTCACTTCCTGCCACTACCAAGGACTTTTTAAATATGATAC